TGAGGGACCTGTACAACTTGGTATACCAATGTGCCATTTTCATATTGTACTTTGGTATTTTCTTGATGTCATCATAAAGAACCGTGGCCAAGTTCTTTCCTTTACCAAAGGTCAGAATAACGTCACAGCAAATTATTTTCAGTTTCATATTCTTCTGCACCCAGTTTGGCTCTTCCATAAGTTGGGCTCTAGCCAGCGAGAAGCAATCACACACTTTCTTGTTTTGAATTCCAAGGAATTTTAATTTATTCTGCACACTTTGGAGATTCTCTAAGCTTAGAGGTTCTACCTCATCACCCCTCCAGTTGAGGTAAATATGTTTTGTTTCTATTATTCCCTCCCATAATTCATTTCCATCTCCATCCAGAATGAGTGCGTTGCACTTTCTTCCCATATATTTTAACTTCAGTTTGCTTTTGTCACACCAACGTTCTTCCTCATTGCCTTCTTGTAAGATGCTCTGATCTTCAAGGAAATGTTTCAGAATGTTGAAAAAAACTTGTTTGTCTTTTTTAGATGGAATGGTTAGATTGCAGGAATAGTAGGAATCATCAGTTCCTGAAGAAGCATTGTCATCTTCTTCTAATTGATTTAGATTGGAAAGAGAATCTGGGTCTTTTGAAATTAGTGGAATGTTAACTTCATGTTCATTTGAAATGAACTTCAGATTGTCATCAATCCAAGGATTCTTTATACATTCAAAAGATGAGTAACCCATGATCCTTGTTGTGGGCGATTCCTTTAGCACCATGTTATATGTGGATCTGCAGCTCTTCTCTCCTCCTGTCACAGTCTTTATAAGCAGTTTTACACAGCCAGTTTCCAAGACCTGAAAATATAGGTACAAATTATTGCTATATGAAATAAAATAGTTTCAGGATTCACATAGGAATATTAGAATGCACTGAAATGGACAAACTCACTCTAGAGCTAGAAGGCAAAGAAGAGTCAGAGTACTATGCACAGTGGTGGGATTCAGTCAGTTGGCAACTACTTCGGGAGAACCGGTTGTTAACTATGTTGTTAACTCTGTTACGACTTCAGCAACAGAGTAATCAATGTGTGGAATATTCTACCTGACTCTCTGGTTTCTTCCCCAAACCCCAAAAACTTTAACCTTAGACTGTCTACTATTGACCTCACCCCTTTCCTAAGAGGTCTGTAGG